AGATTGTTTCCTCCGGTGTGCCCTTTGAAGCCCAGGTTAGCCATTGCTCTGATTAATCTGAAGAGAAAAATAGAGTCTTCTTGCTCACTATTTTGGGTGTGAAATTGCGTACTTAATATGGTGGAAGTTACCATTATTTGTAGACGCTACGCGGGGCACGTTGGTAACTTGGTCAAGCTCGTCCAGTGATGGCTCAGACTATGCTTTACACGTGTTGGCAGGGCATGTTGGTAAATTGGTCAAGCTCGTCCAGTGATGGCTCAGACTATGCTTTACACGTGATGGCAGTCGCTTGGACGAGTCACCCTTGCACAATGATGATATTGTTAAAGTAATGATTTGTCTGAGGAGCTTTGAAGCCTATGGCTCAAAAGGTCATAATAACTCTGATGCCGCTTTGATGTTGATGGCTATTAGGCGGTGAAGTGTGAGCGCTGACTACTCATGAATTAAATGTGATGCGACTTTTGATGACATTGAGCAAGTCTAGGGCTGTCCAAACGGGCTGGCCCGGTCTGGATTTCCGGGCTCAGGCCGGGTAAAATGCTTAGCCCGGACCCTGACACGGGGTGCCCGGGCTGGGCCCAGGCCTGGGTCCGGGCCAGGCCGAATTTTTTGTATTTTTTAATTTTTTTTGCTAAAATTTGATTAAAAAATTCGATTAATCTTATTATATTTATATAAGTATATAATTATATATTAGTATATAACTATATATTTATATGTAAGTATATAAGTATATATGAGTATACATTAATGATCTAATCATACTAAAACAAGGTCGGGCTCGGGTCACGCTTCACCACCTCGGCCGAGACCTAGGCCTGAAGCCCGACCGACCCGGATTTTTCGAGCTTTACTTAGGCCCGGCCGGGAGCCCAATGCCTATTTGGACACCTCTAAGCAAGCCCCCGCACTATTCAAGACACGCCTTTAACCTTGGGTCCGGATCATGAGACGATTGGTTGGTTCAACATCCGCGACAAGCTGATGCATTAGGAGATGAGCAACTGATAATTACACACGGCTACCTCTCGAGACTCCATCAGACTTAATAATTTTCAGGATATAACATCACTATTTGGGGAAGTTCCCCGATAAAGTCTCAAAGTTAAATGGTGTTTTTTTATAACCGTTAAACTTAAAGAAGGGTTTTCTAATATTTTGAAAGTTATGGGGTTATTTAATTATCTTCCAAAGTTATGAAATATGATTGTAATAATCTAAACATAAATACTAGTACAGTAAACTGATCTGGATGACATTGATTAATTGTAAAAAAATTTAAAAATAACATGTAACACTTATGATGAAAATAATTCATGCACTACATTTTCACCATGCAACTAGGAATCTTCAGAGTATGAATTTGATTTGAACAGTTCCCGTGCGTTTCAGTTGCTATACAAGAGCCAAGAGGCTAGAGAAAACTTAAGGACTCTTTATTCTCTTTTTTTTTTTGTTATGAAACGGAATAGCTCTCTCACATAAGGGTTGTCATGAGTAGGATGAGAACTAATCAGTGCGAACCGATTAAACAGATAGAATTTTGAAGCTCAATTCGATTCTAGAAAATTTTTAGTTCAGATCGGTTTTGAAATATTAAAAATCAAAATAACTGAACTAACTGGTCTCACATAATTGTCCAAAAAACTAAAACTTTTTCTAAGTGAAAAGATAATTTATATTGCTATTTTTATATATTTTAATTGATAAAAGTTTAGTTTTAGTCTATAAAGTAACTGATTTAATGAATCCGTTTTTTAATTTGAGATATGAGATGAACCTGAAGTCGTTTGAAAGAGTAAAAGTGTTATCATTTAGCTTTAAATTTCTAACTTCAGATGTCTGTGCCCAAACCGAAGGGAACTACACGAACCGCTTTCATTTCGCTGGATTTGGGTTGAAATCTAAATCGGTTTAGTTTCGTATTAATAAAAAAATATTCAAAACTGACCGAAGCCAATGTTTGTTGTATACCAAATTAAACTACCTTCCCTATCGTCCTAAAGTCTACTTTTAATTCGTCAAATGCAAATTTATTAACAAATTATGTATAGTAGTAATCTAATAAATCATGAGTATTTTTTTTAGTGTGGCTAGATTCAGATAATTGAGGCCCGAATCTGACGAGAGCTTTTTCCTGATTTTAAAAACAAAAAAGACAGATTTTCAAGAATCTTATTAATTGCAAAACGAATATGTCTCTATTTCTCTCTTGTCGCGTTTTATACTTGATTTTTTGTCATCATCTGCGAAATTACTGCTAATTGCATTACCATTAACAATGCATAATTATCTTCCTCGGGCTTAGTTGAACCGTAATTTTTCAGCAATAAGAAGGGTCAACATTCAACAACCGAAACGAGGTGCTAGAGAAAAACTAGGATCTTCGTTTTTTTCCATAAAGAAAGAGAAATCACATCAATCAGATGTAAAGTTAGGAACAAAAAAGTGACATGTACTCAAGAAAATATCTCATATGATCCCAAATTATAATCTAAAGTCTATATTCCCTTCTCCTTAAACTGACAAAGACTTGGTCCCTAGCTTTCCGCCTCCGCTCTTTTTCGAATTTATTTTCACTAGTCCGGAGCTGCAAGCAATAGCTTCCAATATAAAACAAAGTTCATCCTAAGGAATTCTCAGAAAGGGGGGAAATTTCATCCAAGATAACTATATAGATAACTCACACAATATTAAAGTATACTGTTTGGATTAGATTATATGACCTGTACTCTTAAGACATAATATCTGATTAATTAAACGCCAGTACAAAGATTCAGACCAAACAAAAGTTAATCCCCCCAGCGATAAAAGATCTCTTAAAGAGTTTTATTTTATTTTATTTTATTTTGAACCTGTTTTGTTGCCTCAAATTAACCTCCATAGTCATAGCGAACGTTCAGATACAATTGTATACACATATGCAAGTTCACACGTCGAGGGTACCTTCTCATTAATCAAAATGTAAAATTTCTCGACCGCGCGCTGATATCTAAGCGCGTCTCGTAGAATTTGCACCAAGATTGCACAGACATCATCTTAAAAGTCTATTTTCAGGGATGCTGAAACTTAAACGAATGCCAAGGGCTAGAACTTTAGACGCTGCTGGTTTATATATATACTAAAGGGTGGATTGAACTAATGAGGTAGATAATGAAAACGACTTGTGCCTTATCGCTAGAGAATTGAATACAACAGAAGTGATATTTCTTTGCAACTATAGGTACGACCTGAACGCAACAAGAAACGATATTAAAAAATGTTCTCAAGTTAAACCAATCTTCGAGCGGGTGAGATAGCTTTCAGCACGTAATTTAATGAACAGCTCATTGTCTCTGCACTCAACTGCCTCTTGATAACCACCTCTTGCAACAGGATGGAGCTGCAAGTGGCTGCAGTGGACCTTAACCCTGATCGTTACGGCTCGTGATCGTGTCCAGACCCTAAACTAGACACATTCTCATCGCTGGCCTACGTTTCTACACATTAAACCTTGATGCACAAACTATATATATATCCAGGGCATAAAAACCATCGCCTAATTTTGCTTCTATAGGGTGTTGAAGCCCAAAACCTAACAATTCGTCAATATCACTAGCCTTCCTAAAGCTTGGCACGTGAAAACTGATTTGCAAAGCCCTAAACTACAAATGCCACCCGTTAATGGGGCATTTTCATCTAATATCGATCCATAACTGACATCTAAATTTTTGGTTTAATTTAACATGGTATTAGAGCACAAAACCTACAAAAGAGCCGGCTCAGTTAACACATTAGATCACAACCAGAAATTGTAGGGGCAAGATCTCCGATTCAAACGTGCTACGTTTGAACAAAATTTTGTAGGATCAAACCGCGATGGACCCGGTCCTAGCTGTCAAGTATAAGATACAGTGTAAATATCAATTCAGATGAACATTTGAATTCAGTAGAAAGCATGTTGGCCTACAGGACAGAACATGCAGAGTTTTTTGAATACCCACCATCCCAAGGCCTACAAAAACCACATGGTTCGCCAGAAAAGACGAGTCTTTTCGTAGGACTCCCAAACCATTAAACAATCTCAAGACACAACAAATACAGCCACAGCCTAAAACCCTAAGATCATGCCACAAAACATGGAGCTGACTGATTAGTTCCATCAAAGATGAAAACAATAACGCCTACCCTTCGGTTTTATTTTAATGCCCATATTATCACCAACATAGGATCCACCCCCTTCTGACATTCATACTTATGCTCCTCCTTTCTCTGCTGGACTTATCCCCACTTTTTTCTTTTTCTCTTTTTGCGTATTAATCATGTACTTCATTACTAAATTGTAGAAAACTCCCATGTGTAAAAAGTGCAAGTAGAGAATCACATAGGTCTTTCCCTGGAAAACCGCATCTCTCTCCTCCATGACTTCAGTAGCACTTTTAATCCTTCTTCATCCCTGGATTGACATTTTGAGAAGGGTAAATTGGACATAATTTCCCTCTCACACATGAACTGAATGGTGATATATGCTAATAAAATAGTTGGCGGCAATAAGATGAGAGGGGCAATATTTCCAATTTCCCTGGTAAAACTAATAGAACCTGAGAGTTTGCAGCAAAACCAGATAAAGTGGATGGGAAATTTGTGCTATTTACCCTCACTATAGGCATATACAATAAAATGAAATGCTTGGCAATAACACACAGTTACAAGTCAGCAGAAGGTTTGATATGAGCTGGAAGGAAAGATATCTTGCAGTATGATGAGAATAATTCGATTTCTCCCTTATCATGGCAGACCATATGATTGAAGAGAAAGTAGAAAGAAATAATAAATTTTGAACAAGGACCGATGGTAACAACAAAGAGCAAGAACCATAAAGTAATATGCAGGGTAGATGCTTCCCATGATCAAATTTTCTAACAAGAAAAAACCCATATGACAAAATATAAAATTAACTCACAAATGCCAAATCTACACATAATGTACAGGGTAATATATCAAAGTAGCAGAGCTCCTCCTCTCCCTCACACCAACTTAACCAATGTACTTTAATTGTTTCAACAAATATGAATAAGCAGTAAATAACAACAAGTGATCACCAATTTACGAAGAAAAAGAACAGGAACAAAAAAAAAACCTTTTTTCCGCTCTAGAAGAAAACCCAAATCATATGAAGGCTCTTTTTTTCCCATTTAAGTGGATTCAGTGGAACTCTTTTCCTTGTATCGGTAGAGAAGCTTCTTCTTCTTGGAGGTGGCATTGTCAATGGTGAGGACTACTTTCCCTGGCTCACCGATCTTGAAGCTGTTCTTCACATAGGGCTCGTCGGTGGGAACGAATTTCCTCGCCTTTTGAATTATCACAGTGTATCCAGACTCTGCAGTTGGTGCAAACTCAGCACCGTAAGTCACTTCCCAACCAAGAACACGGAATTCCCAGATAACAGTACTCCCCTGTTATTAAATTGTACAAAAAAGTTCAATGATCATCAGAAAACTTAGTATGTAATGCAAGTAAATGAACGATTAGTTGTTGCGGATAAACCACTTCTACTATTGCCAATATAAAATTACTACCCTTGTAGCTCCATTGTTGCAGATGGAACCCTAAGTGACAATTTTTTGACCCTTTCAAGGCATTCTATCTGCAACAATAGAATTTCACTCAAGAGGGTCTATCTGCAACGATAGAACTCTTTCAGGTTGGTATATCAACAATAGAATTATTCAAATAGTAATTTCAATTTGGCAATAGTTCAGAAGGTCTATCAGCAATTAATCCAAAAATGAAACTTTTAACAAAGAAATGTTCTTCACCTCAGTAGCGGGAATCTCAATGGTATGCTTGCTTGCAGGCTTGATTATAAACTCAGTAACAGCATCGGCAGTGATGAAATCAGTGTCATTCTCCTTGCTCAGGCCACCATATTGAACTGGGACTTGCTCAGGTGCTATGTATCTGAACAAATAGAAGAATATCAACATATAAGAAATAATTTCAGTCTATTAAGAAATTGGGAAAGAAAGAGAAGGTTTAGAGAGTTTCACAAACTTGAAGAGGGTGTCTGCAGATTTAGAAGATGCAGCAAAAACAAACTTGCTCTTGCTCCTTGGAGTGAAGATTGAGCCGATCACCTTGTTGTATGCAACATACCACCATGGAACATTGATGAATATCTAAAGAGTGACCAAAATACATCTCCATGAAATCCAAGGAAGTAATAAGTTTATCAATAGGCAGAAAATCCAACAGGACCAATCTCAGGCTTCTAATCATTACATTATCCTAATTGTCTACAATGTAAACCTAGAAAATATCAGATAACGGTTCTTCCTCTGGTGAGAAAAACAAAACAAAACTGCCAAACCTTAACTAGTTAAAGACCAAATTGAAGAAAACATTTTCCCATAAATAGGAACAGGTGATCTAAATGGTTCAGTTGCTGATAGTTCAACGTCATATCTTTTCCATATTAATGAACAATAAATATAAAAGCAGATGCCCAATAAATATCCTTTGAAAAAAATAACCCAGACCCATAGGAATAAATTCCTATTTAGAACCAACAAGAAGCAAGTTTTCTTGCTGTATTTGTATCTTCTTCAATTCAATTCCATACAAAATAAAACACATCAAACACATCATGCTTCAAACTTAAACGAAACCAAACTCCAAGCACAAAATAAAATTCAGTTAGTTTTCTACAAATTATCTCTTGTTTCATAACCAAAATCAAAATCAAAATCAAATCAAGCAACAAAGTTTAAGAAAAATATACCTGCTTAGCAACAAACTCAGGGTAATTGTCCTGCAGCAGAGTGAGTGCTTTCTTAGTAGCAATCCTGAGCTCCTTCCTCCCCGGTCCGGGGGTATTCTTAAGATCAGTAACCTGCACCATTGAACAAACAGCTCCAGGGCTAAAACCAAGCAGCTCTCTAATCCCCTTCTCCAAGAACTGAATCCTCCACCTCAAGAACCTCTCCCTCTTCTCCTCATCCCCAAAAGCCTTTGCATACAGCTCTTTATCCTGTAACTCCCCATACACATTATAGCAAACGGGGTGCCCTTCTTTATCGAACCCGTGATTGAAAACAACCTTCTGAAGCTCGGGAATCTGGAGGTCTTCTTCAATTAAAGAATCAATGTCGAATTGTTTGCGCCAGATGACAGCGTTCTTGATCATGGTCATGGCATCCTTGACCTTGAAATCTCGGGCTCGGAGGAACTTGAGGAGGACAGTGTCGCTCTTCTCGTCCCCGATAAGCGGAACGCCCCAGATGAAGATCTCCTCTGGGGGTTCTTCTTGAGCGGGGGTTTGGGCTTCGGGTGCTGCAGGTTCGGTTTCGGTTGCAGATTTCGACCCCTCGTCCGCCGCCTCGGTCTTTTCCTCAGTTACCTCTGTGGTAGCTGATGCTGATGCAGGAGCTGCGGCCTCCTCCGATGATGGAAGGTTCTTCTGTTTTGGGCTCTTCTGTCTTGGGCTCCTCTGATTTGGGCTCTTCTGATTTGGGCTCCTCTGTTTTGGGCTCCTCTGTTTTGGGCTCTTCAGTTTTGGGCTCTTCCGTCTTGGGTTCCTCAGTCTTCTTCTCCTCCTCCTTCGCCGAAGCCTCCTCGACGGCGGCGGGAGCAGGCCGGCGGCGGGGTGGAGGAGTGAACTGCACTTGTTGGCCAGCGACGCTGAGATCCGGTCTCTAGATCTCGAGAGCTTTCTTTTCGCGTCTCGAGATCAGCGACCAAGTTGCTCTCTTTAAAGGAGTGGATTCGGCCGGCTTGGGTTGGGTCTCTTCGGCCATGGCCTCAGACAAAGGGGGCGGAATTTTAGAGAAAGAGGGAGAGACTTTTTTAGAGGGAGAGAGATGAAATGTATTTTAGGGTTTGGGGGGAAGAGGAGAGAAGGGTTTTTTTATATATACAGAGGGAGAGGAGAACAGACTGTCTGAAGGAGGTGAGGGCCAGCTCTGAACGGCCCTCTGTAGATGGGACCCACAAAAGGGGCCGAAGCAGCAAACATTAATCATTTATAATTAGGGATTAATATACTATGAATTAGTTTGGTGTGTGAAATATTAGTTAGACGTTCAGCAAATTTAATAAAGTTCTCGGGTCCGTTTCGCTGGCGGACTGCAAGTGCTGCTATGTGTTTGTGTTTGATTTTAAGCTTTATAAATATTATGTTGTTTTTTTTTAAATTTGGCTAAATTACAGAAAACACCTCTACCTTTGGACGATTACCAGATAGCCTTTAGCATTCAAAATATAAGAAAACTTACAGATAACACCCCTAACTTTGGGTGATTACCAATAAGAGAATTCTATTCCCTAGATCCCACCCCAATTTGGGGAATAACAAATTTTGCATTTTTGCAGGAGAACTTAAGCTGTGATGGATTTAAAATTTTTAAAAAGTAATGTCACTATATAATTAATCTATACTACATATAAAAAGAGAATTGTGATGTTAAAACTTTTGATTGCCCTTTTTACTCCTCTAAAATTTAATAGTTCTAGCTTTAATTAATTTGATAATTCTCAACTTTACATTTGGAGAAAAATTAGAACCCCCAAGTTGTTATTAATCGTACCCTTTCAACTCTCCCCACACAATTATAAGTAGTACTATTTTTAATTAATCTTTTTAACTATTATATTACCTTATATTATATTATAAATTATAAAAATATGTTACTATGTTAAAATACTTTTTCCAAAATGTCCATCTCTAAATATTATACGTACGCTCTTATGTCCTTGACATAAATCATGTTTTGACTATATTATTGTGATTAAATAGAAACATCTTGATGCAGCTATCTTCTTGCATCTTTTCTTCTCTTTCTTATTGATTACAGTGACAAATGCATCTTCCTCTTCTCCTTCAGTTTTTCTTAATTACAAGAATGTCTTTCTCTTCTCCTTCAACTTACTTTGCAATACCTCTTCCCTTCAACGTTAGCATTATTAATATGCAGCGTTATTATTTGATCTAAATAGCATAAATTCAATAATCTATATACTATTACTAAAAAGTATTACCCTTCAAAACGCCACTTGGCAAAATCACCAACATCTCCTTTCACCGCTTCTTTCCTAACAACGCCACTTGGCAAAATACCCGACATCTTCTTTCACCGCTTCTAAATCCGTGCACCGCTTCGTTCCTATCTTCAATTCACTGCATCGTTCCTAGCTTCGTTTTCCTTCCTAATATCTCCTTTACCCCATTTCCCCCAAAGCGATTCCTTCCCCCAATATCGTTCCCAGCTTCGTTTCGTTCGATCTCAGCACTTCTGTCATTCAACTCCCCACAAATAGTGCGCCTCGAGAACCCAATCGTCACCCAAGGATGATACGAATATTTCCCCCAAAGCGATTCCTTCCTCCGTTCTTAATTTCCCGTGATCGACTGTTCGTTTCCTTCAATCTCAGCTCTTCTGTCGTTCGACTCCCCACAAATAGTGCGCCTCGAGAACCCAAGCGTCGCCAAAGGATGGTACGACTATATAGAAAGCCTCAGAGTCTCATCCCCGCATCCCTTATCTCCAAAGAAAACGAAGATTCAGCAAAACCCCTGGCGAAGACTGACCCCTACGATACAGAAAGCAGTCGGCGTCACTGGAGGCGAAGTTCGTCGGCGTCTTCGGAGGTCGACAGGTCTAATTACTGAAACCCTTAAATTTTTTAGATTATGTGTGAAATTTACTTTCATTGGAATTTTTTCCATATATTGTAAAATTGGAGCTCTGTATGACTTCGTAATTAACCCATTCACAATTGTGAATTGCCTTATGGTCATTATTATCGTTAATTGGTTGATGTATTTTCAATTTTTGTATTTGTTATGTTGCGCTTAGCTGATCAAGTTGACTGTGCACCAGTAGTATCAAACATAAAGCTGAGTTTATCATTTTTTTTCCTTCTATGACTTCGTAATTAACCCATTCACTATAGTGCATAATACATAGGGAGGAAAAGGAGCAATTTTTGTGGATTCATGTCCACTTTTCATATGCTTTTATTGGTTTTAATTTTTTCCCCCAATGTGCGAAATGTACTTTCATTGGCATTTTTTTCCATATATTGTGAAATTGGAGCTCTGTTCAGTGTATATTGCTTATGGTGTTATAGTGAATGTATCTAATTTGATTGTTACTACTCTATAGCAATCTTTATCGATTCATTCCACAAATATTTGATGTAATTTATAAAGTGCTACTTCACCTCGCTAACTACCTGATATTGACATCAACATGTGCAAGAGGTGACAAGATGTATAAGCCTGTAAGGGTGCTATGTGATTTCTTTTTGATAATTCTAGGTCTAATATTAGAATTAATTCATCTATGAGGTCTATCCGTCAAATCAAATTTAGAAATAAAAAGTTGCAAAGGGGTCCATATGCAATTAAATTATGATAGCAAGTTAAGTCACAGTAACTTCCAAGCACAGTTATGCTTTTCATATCAAACTAAATATCCTGACATGAGAGACTGCCATTTTTCTTCTCGGGAGATTTATTTTGCCAAAAAATCAAATTTCTATTTCTATTGAGGGTAAAAGAGTAAAAAGAATTTCACTCAAAGGTCTATCAGCAACAACAAAACTACAATAAGTCCATTCGGAATTAATGCTGATTTTTTATGCCAAAATGTTGGGCTTTATGCAGGTTTGGGTAGTAATGTGATTTTGGTTATGTTGGGCTTTATGCAGGTTTGGGTAGTAATGTGATTTTGGTTAACTTTCCATAGTATCTTCCAATTTTCAAATATTACAAGTTGCTACATTTTGGATAGTAATCTGATTTTTTATGCAGGTTTGGGTTGTAATCTGATTTTTTATTAATTAATTCTGTACCTTGAGGTAATATTAGTGCCATGATTATGATGAGTAAAAATGGTTGTTAATCACTGAAATTGCACTTGATACTGGACATGTCAGCTTGCATTGCTTTAAACTGGAAACCTATTGCATCATATAGATTATATCCTCTTTATCATTATTGGACATGTCAACTTTAAACTGGAAACATATTGTACTGTTGTATATATCAGTATATAGCCTGTAGTGCTGAAACTTACAGATCTTTTGGTATGTAAATCTGTGATAATCATCTTGCTAGCGGCTTTTCTCAAGATGATGTGGTTTTTTTTAATGTACTATATGATGACACTTCCAGTTCGCTGTTAGCTTTGTGGAAACTGAGGAGTTTCCTTTTTCTTCAGCTTTTCCACGAGATGAATGTGTGACCAAATATGTCTGTCAAATTGTAGGCATGTTGTAAAATTTATTAAATCCATGGTAGGCTTATCTATCAGATACGTTCTCTATTGTGGCACCATTTTAATGGGTATGACAGGTGGTGATTATTATTACAAGGTGAAGTAATCGCTATTACTTAATTTGTAGATATGACTTATAAGATATAATTACAGTGAGGTTTTATATGAATGCATTAATACAACTTGTAGATATAACTTATAACCTTATATTAATGCTGTTTTTTTATGCCAAAATGTTGGGCTTTGTGCAGGTTTGGGTAGTAATGTGATTTTGGTTAACTTTCCATAGTATCTTCCAATTTTCATATATTACAAGTTGCTACATTTTGGGTAGTAATCTGATTTTTCTATGTAGGTTTGGGTAATAATCTGATTTTTTATTACTTAATTCTGTACCTTGAGATAATATTAGTGCCTTGATTATGATGAGTAAAAATGGTTGTTAATCACTGAAATTGCACTTGATACTGGACATGTCAGCTTGCATTGCTTTAAACTGGAAACATATTGCATCATATATATTATATTCTCTTTATCGTTATTGGACATGTCAGCTTTAAACTGGAAACATATTGGACTGTTGTATAGATCAATATGTAGCTAGCAGTGCTGAAACTTACAGATCTTTTGGTATGTAAACCTGTGATAATCATCTTGCTAGGAGCTTTTCTCAAGATGATGTGGTTTTTTTTAATGTACTATATGATGACACTTCCAGCTCGCTGTTATCTTTTAATTGTAAGTATATATATGTAGGTTTACCATTTTGCATGGGGTGTTATCTACCAGTCATCAATTGTTCCTTGCTTAGTTGACTTGTCTCGCATCTATTTGCCCATTTCCTATTCTTAACAATCCTAGAAGAGGACCAAACATCTCCTTGTCTTGATGTTTACAGCAAGGGGTATTTGGTATTGTTTCATTGCCCCCGATTATTTTTATTATCTTTTGCTGTATTTCAATGTTGATGAAGTTTGAACAGCTTTGGTCTTTAATTACTTGGTTTTTTGCACAATTGGTAATCATGTCGATATTAGTTATAAGGATGGGAGTTTCTTTGGTGCTCTTTTAGCATTTTGCACAATTGGTAATCATGTCGATATTAGTTATAAGGATGGGAGTTTCTTTGGTGCTCTTTTAGCATAATATTTCTCATGTATGGAGCAATAAAGTTAGTTATAAGTACATTTAGAAGTGCATGGCTGTAAACTTCAGTGTTTTTACAATTTACAGTGCTTGTGAGAGATCTGGTGCTGAAGTTGTGTTATTAGGAGTAATAGTATGTCGTCTCGATATTATAAGATATTATTACATGTGGTGATTATTATTACAAGATATTATTACATGTGGTGATTATTATTAATGCATTCATATGTAAGGAATTTCTTATCAACTTGAATTCAACCCTCTCGAAACAACCTGATTTATGTCATGTTTAATTATTACTTTTTCAGTATTTCTCTCCTGTGATCAATGTTAAATTTTGTTTTGCATGTTTCTTTCCAATTTGTATGTGCACCTTCATGCCACAATACATTACTTTTTATTTTAATGTCTTCTGTATAAATAGTTTTTCTTTCCAACTACTATGTGGCATCATGTTTGTTCCAAACTACTAATCTCCAACCGAACTAAAGAGAACCTGTATGCCGATTAGTGTCCAAAACTAAGTAAAAATTTATTATTTAGTTGTTCTTTTTTGTTGAGATGTCCATAAAAAAGATTCTTAATAGAATTTATGTGTTTTCTTAGAGATTATTTATTTAGAAAATCACATAAATTAGTAAAAAAGATTCTTAATAGAATTTATGTGTTTTCTTAGAGATTATTTATTTAGAAAATCACATAAATTAGAATTAATGCATCTTTGAATGCCACATGTGTTTTCTTAGAGATTATTTATTTAGAAAATCACATAAATTAGAATTAATGCATCTTTGAATGCCACTCGAAAACGTGTTGCCTACTTCTCAAACATATATGTTATTTTAAAAAGCATTATAAATAGGACATTTTTTGAATACTTCCTAAACATATGTTATATGTTTTTCTGACTTCACAATTGCATGTTTGTGATAATTATTCACACATCTAAAATTTGTTTTTGCAGTTTGCAGTGATCTTTGCGCGTTATCATATATTGAAAGGTATTTTTTCTTCCCAAAAAGCTTCATAATATTTCAACCGGTCATTATATCTATAAAAAAATTTAAATATTTTATTTTCATTTAATGTTATAGCAGTTTGTTAGAGTCGGTTGTTTAGTTTGAAAGGTATGATTTTACATGTTATACTCTTTCAATTGAATTTTTCCTTCAATATCACAGATGCTTCATAATATATTACATTTTTAACATATAAAATCTGAAATAAATGAATATATTCATCGCACGAGCTTTAAACAAAGCTATAACTCAATGATACCATTTAAATATATGTGTTCTAAATTATATGCATCACACAAGATCTTTATTTGATTGTAAACTATTAGTACGACTATTAGCAAGAGTATTCCTGAACAATGATGAAATAGACATACGATCCCAAAATACCTTTGTTTGCTACTTAAACATTGTAAGACTTTGCAATTTTAAGAATAGTACTTGAATCCAATTATCAGGCAATGAAAATGCTTCAGATAGAATACTGTCATTGACCCATTATCAATTCCATGAAGCTTCGGATAGAATACTGTCATTGACCCATTATTAATTCCATGAAGCCATCCCTTCCCCATCTAGGGTTGTAATCACAAATACTAACATACATTTTTTTTATTTTGTTAGTGATGGCGATTGTGAAACGAACAGCAAGAAAAAGAACATTATCATTCTGGGGAAGGGATGGTCATCAAATTAGGCTCGCAGTCCCCTATCGTAACCCAACCAAGCTAGATTATATGACACATAAGTTGAAAAGAAATGAGACACTAGATGAACACATTTCAAATATGCGAAATATATTATTTAATATGGAAGTTCAAAGGGAGCCTGAATTGAGTGAAACAGAAAAAGTAGCTGGACTGCTCAATTCCTTGCTGGATGAGTTTGGATTTATTAAATATAGATTGCTTAATAAGTCTACTTTTGATGAGGTTATATGCGAAATGAGACTTATTAACTTCGATTGGGATTTTAAGAGGCTATGTAGACGCACTGCAATCTTGTCCTTAGCACCAAACATCCGTATTGCCCGAGCTGAGAATATGAGTGGAATACCTTGGTTTGGAAGAGTTCAGAAGAGCACCAAACATCCGTATTGCCCGAGCTGAGAATATGAGTGGAATACCTTGGTTTGGAAGAGTTCAGAAGAGATCTACTAAAAATGTCAACTACGAATAGTTGTTCGAATATCAACATTTATGAGAAATTGAGTGATTGTAAGGAATCTATTTGCATAATTAAAACATGTGTCATTTCCTTTCTTATATTTATAATGTGTTTGATTTTGTAGTTCGATGAGAAACATGAGATCTCTATTTATTGTTATGGTTAAACTTTAATGATATTCGTTGTTTACATGATCTTATTTGATATGCTCCGTTTATGAGAAATAGTAGCTTAAATTGTACGTGAGTGATATATTACACAAATAGTCGACGAGTCTAAATTACATTGCACAAAGAGAACAAATACAACATGCACCTACTTAAGTATTTGGCTTGACATTTCATCATTTTTTATAAAAAAACATGCTAAATACCTTTAATACTTTTATTGATATGATTGTCATGGTGGGTTTACATGTTACTGGGTTAATGTTGTTGTTGGGTTTGAAGTTGGAATGCAACTATGATATTCAAAGATAGATCAGTTGGTAATTGTGGAGATGAGGGTATCATGAGTGTGGATCTTATTAACAAGAAACAAGCAAGATTCAATAGAAGAATGTTGCTGTTGGACAAACGTACAAATGCTAACAGAGCCAACCAAGGTGCGATACTAAACTTAGTTTATTTTATTTTATTGGTTAATTACAGAAACCCATTCTCTAAAAATTTTGAGGGTTTCAGTAAACCCCTCAAAGATTTTTTAACACTAGCTCACCTGAACTTTAGTAGTTATTGCACATAACTCCTTAACCTTTTCTTTTAATAAAACCTTGCCTAAATATTTTTTCTTTGATCCATATATTAGCGCCATTAATTCCAACATACCATTGGGTAAGCACATGCTTGCTCCACGAGATGTTATAATTGATGCTGATAATGTCTTCAAAAATGTAGTAGACAACACAATTAAACAGTTTATGTGTAATAACATCAAACGTTCAGGGAACAAAAGGTTAGTGCAAGTATTGGTGCGAATACCAACATAGTTTGCGGGTTCTCTGCAATTAACTTTGTGATATATTTAATTATTGTATAGAGCCCTTTTTTTGATTTTTTTTAAATAAATTATTTCAGGTATCAACTTTGTAGAAAATAATTCTTCTCACATCTACGATGATGTGCGTTCCTGTTTGGATGCTATTGACAATGGATCACAATTAAATTCTTGTCAGAGCCATGGAGCAGGAAAAGAAAATTTGAATACTTATCCATCACAAATAAGCGTTCACAGAAATCGAAAAATGACTAGAAGACCATTGGGGAATATATCAAGTTGTGTCGTAAATCTATCAAATAGTTTTGCTTTGACTAATTGTCCTGCGAATATTGCATCTGCATCAGAATATAAATCAAAGAGAATGAGATCTTCTCAGACAATCTGCATTAGTGATAAAGATTCTAATACACAAACATTGGAAGGAATATCTTGCTGTACAATGGATTCTTCATCTCAATCTATATTTGAACATCACGCCAGAGAGGGAGATTATTTGTCAATGTTATTTTCCAATAAAGCACAAGAAATATCTGGTCAAAATACTCCTGTTCAAACTTCAACGCAAACAGTTTATCTATTACACAGAGGTATTGTAAATTCTATGTTATTTCTTTATTTTATATCATCTTATCATTTACTTTTTAGGTTTCGTTGTTATCATTGTTAGGTTTAACCTTTTATTAAATAATAATGATGTGTTGCTTGATTGAATCTTTATAGCTGCAGATGGTACTAATGTAGATGCTCAAAGACTACCTAATTCTACTCAAGATAGTAAGTTAATCTTTCTTTTTGAAGATTTTATTACTTATCTACATTAAGTCCATGCTTGATTCTTGAATATCATTCCAAACAGGTTATTTTGATGTGGGTGATCCGATTTGGTCATGCATCTACTGTGATGCTAATATGTGGTTTGACGAACGTGTCCGGAAGGATAAGAATACTACTATTCCTAAATTTTCTCTATGTTGCTCGAAAGGAAAAATTCAACTTCCTTTGTTGAGAGATCCTCCAGAGCTTCTGAAATTGCTTTAATATCTTTTTGAGTAGTATCTTTTGTTGTGACTACATTCACCATTATCACTTTGGATTGCCTATTTTTTTCGCTTTACTATTGATTTCTCGATTCTTCGTATTAATTGTACAACAATCTTCTCTTGTCACCTCAATAACATCCTAATTATTATGTTATACTGAAACACAGGCATCGCTATCGGTCACTTGTGAGAATGAAGTTGAAATTTGTTCCTCGGATAACACTACTCCTTGCAAGAGAAATTCGTTGGAATCTGATGTTGATCACTCAGTTTCAGTAGACTTGATCTCTCCGCAAATGTCTAGCAACAAAAAGCAAAAACAGATCAAAATTGAAAAGGAGGATTAGAATATATTTACAGAGAGTTCAAGCTCCTTTTTGAGAAAACTCTATTTGATTTATGATGTCTGGAACTTATATTTAGTATTCCGGTCTAAAACGTTATTTAGTAAACTTTTGTATGTACTACATATATTTTTGGTGGTTTTGTGTTGAGAAACCTAACTCCTTGATATGATTATGTTAGATATTTTGTTTAACACTATATTGATCATTATTGTTTTGATTCATATATATATATACTTCATAGTTATCTCTATGTGCTTAGGCTGTATCATTTCTGACTACTTACATATTATTACCGTTTTATTTTGTATTATTTTGTTACATCAATTTTTGTATATTAGACAAATCCGTGCATCGCACGGGCTTGAAACTAGTAGTTAAGTTATTGTAATAATAAAAATTAGTAATTTAGACTCCTGTGGTTCCATAACCATTCTAATTGAATATATGAGTTATGGACCAATTGACAAACAATTCTTTTATTTCCCTCCTCGATCTAGGTAACCTCTCTTCCATCTTTAAAGCTATAAATTTATCTATCCATCCTTTTTAATCAACCACATCACCTACTAAGCAAAATTTCTACAACCGTACAATCAAAGCTCAATGAAAGCATCAATTGCATCGGGACAGGAAAGTAAGGATGAAGAGGCTTTCATTTTTCATCAAAATCGGATTTGTCCAAACACATCTTTACTTCGTTGTATTCATCTATTATTTAGTTAAAATTTTGATATTCATTTTGAATTGAGTCAGTTTGGCATGATTTTAATTATTATATTGAAAATTGAAGTAAACTCTTTCTTTTTAATGGAATATTTAGTTACAAGATTGTAGTAGCTTTTTTTTAATTTCATTGTATCAATTTTGAATAATTTTATGGGTTTTGTGATGTAGGATCCTCAACTCACAGTCAATATGAAATAAACAAGTATGTAACATTTTTATTTTCGTTTTTTTTCTTTTAACTGAGCAACATTGATCTTGTAGAAGACTTTTATACCTTTTATGTGAAACAAATTATCTAAATGTCGAATTCATTTAAATATGGGGGGAAATATCTAAAACATAAGCAGTAAAATGAGTTGAAGGGGATACTTATAATTATGATGCGACATTGGTGACATGAATGAACATGATAAATGGGAGATGTAGGAATATTTTGTGGCTAAATATCATAATACCCTGCTTAACAATTATTAATTGTCCAAAGCTAAGAGGGGTTTTTAAGACATTTAGCCATTTTTTAAAGTTAAGAGGACTTCTAATATTTGAAAGTTGTGGGTTTATCTAATAATCATCCAAAGCTAACAGGTTTTTTGATATTTAGCTTTTTTTGTTGGGACTCGTTAATGAAAGTGTGGAGGCGCATCTAATGTACTGGCACCCAAAAGACTTCCTCCAGAAACTGAAGTTTCTTTATTAAATATTTGATTTGAAATATTTTTTGGAGTTAAATATCTTTTTTGGAACAAAAATGCCTCACGGACCCGAAAATGGGACAGATAGGGGTGACAGGTGAGGTGTTCCCCTCTGATTGCATAATGAGCTGGTCATGGCTAGCTCATTGTGAGATAAAAGGAAGAGATCTATCATAGTAGCAATGATATAATCTATGAGGTAGCACGAAAAAACAGCCACCTGAATTCTTATCCACGTAAAACTTTGGCTACTGAGCACAACAACCTGAATTCAACACAAGTTCATAGGGAGAATCCTATATCTTTAGACATGGTAATGATCCCCATTCCCAGAAAATGCAATAATGCGTATCAATACATCATGGTAATAGCATTAATCCTCAGGTTCTAATTCGATCAACACCATATCATGCATTACGAGCCTAGAAATGTGTAACTATCACTATGAGGGAACACATGAAAATGAAAATCTGACAGCAAATAAGTACCGAAATTGGCCTCTCTCTCTCTTTGAATTAATCATGGTTAGGAAATAAGAGAGAGATCCAAACACCACCCAATCTGACAGCAAATAAGTACCGAAATTGGCCTCTCTCAATATGAG